CCTGCTCTCACAGAATCTGTTATCGGAACAGGACACACTGGTGTTCCACTCTCCCCACAGGAACAGCCCATGACTAGCATAGCATGCATGCTCCTTCACAAGTTCCCGAGTCATTCCTCTGGCTCTTGGCTACTGCCTGGCAAACCTCAGGACCCCAAACTTTCCTGGGTAGCCATTCCTCAGGAATGATAATTGTTACATTAGGTTAACCCTATGCCATTGCTGATATCTGACCAATCATTTTTGATCTACACAAATGAAAATTTCAAATGGTACAACCTAGTAGATGTCAGAAGGCCTAAATACGGAGCACGTCTCTTCTCGACAGGCTAAACAAGCGGTCGCCAACTGGTGGTCCGTGGATCAGTGGTGGTCCATGAGGTCCGAAAGGTTGGAGACCACTGGTTTAAGGAAACCTTTGGAGGAGCGGTCGCCAACTGGTGGTCCGAAAGATTGGCAACCACTGGGCTAAACCAAATACTTAGTATTCACCTCTGCCCACTGCTCCATATTGTGATTTCCTACTTTCTGGGGATCCAAAAAGTGGACAGCTCATTCTATAGAAGGCACATCAAGAAGTTAAGGAACATGGGAAAGTTGGTATCAGAAAATAGAATTTAAAAATACTATGAATAACTCCAGATAGCTTCTATGATACTGTTTGGGAGGGAAGAGGAGCAGAGAGAAAAGCAGAAAACAGAGGAAACTAGAACATGAGCTTGAGTGTAGCGTGGAGAAATGAGTAAGGAATGGAGCAAATTCCCTCTTTAAAAGCCTCCACCTAGAGAAGATCTGGAAACAAAACTTGTTTCTTTACCTACTGACTAGCAGGTTCTTTTCTCGTAGGAACAATGCTTGTGTGATGGCATCCTTGTGCCCCTTTAGACGGTACAGGCCACTTTCATTGATCACGTCCCACACAATAATATCTGTGTCCTAAAGGGATCAAATAATATAGAACCTCCTTTATCATATAAAGGACTAACAGGATGTAACATTTGCATTACAAATTTTTATTATATATTCCTTGATTACACCACAGAGACTTTGTTTTATGTTCTTCCAGTCTTGATGTATATATCCAGGTTGATAATTTCCTATTAAACTGACACCATGCTATTCATTAGAAAACTCTCCCCTTTTTTCACTTAATGCATTTCCATTTTTCCATGTCTTTCCAGACTGCTCTCATTTTTTAATGGTCTCTTAATAATCCTAAGGATATACATTAATTTATTTAAATTTTTTTTTCTATTTTAGCCATTTAGGTAGTGTCCAATATTCTACCATTATAAATATGTGGAAGTGGACATTCTTATATATCTTTGTATATATCTCTGATCAGGGTAAATACTATGAAGGGAAAGTCTTGGGTCAAAAAGTATCCCTATTTTTCAGGTTTGCAACTCATATCATCAAGGTACTCTCCAAAAAGGGTGCACCAATCTCTGTGTCCAGCAGGGGTAGTACGACAAGACCCATTTCCTCATCCGCTCAGCTCTGGGCACTATCAGCTTCTCAAAAACCACTGCCTGTTTCACATGCTATAAATGCTGCCTTGCTCTAGCTGGTTTGGCTCAGCAGATAGAGTGTTGGCTTGCGGACTGAAGGGTCCTGGGTTCAATCCTGGTCAAGGGCACATGCCTGGGTTGTGGGCTCGATCCCCACTGGAGGACGTGCAGGAGGCAGCCGATCAATGATTCTCTCTCATCATTGATGTTTCTCTCTCTCCCTCTCCCTTCCTTTCTGAAATCAATAAAAATATATTTTTAAAAATGCTGTCTCAATATTTATTTGCCTTGTATTTTCTGAATACCAATGAGAAGTTCTGTACACGGTCTATGGTGATTACTGACCATCTGTACCTCTCTCGAACCACCGAGTCCTGTCTTTTGTCTACCTTTTTGGGTCTTATTTTCACTTTATTGTAAGTTATTAAGAGACAAATGGTATTAAAGCTTTCTTCCAATATAGAAAATATTACATGCTTTCCCCCCATTTTATTGAGAACAAATTGCTATACATCACTGTGTAAGTTTCAGATGTACAGCAAAATGATTTGATGTACATATATTGTGAAATGATTACAATAGGTTGAACTAACATCTATCTTCTCATATATATATACCAAAAAAAGAAGAAAAAAAAAGGAAAAATATTTTTTCCCTGTGATGAGAATTCTTAAGGTTGACTTGTAAACAGCTTTCCTATATAGTATTAAAAGTACAAATGTTTTAAATTTAAGTATTCAAATCTATTGATCTTTTTTCCTTTATAGTTTCTTTGCTGATTTGTTTGAAACCTTTTTCCACTTGGGATCAGGTACATATTTACTTACATTATCTTGCAGATTTCTTGAAATATCCATCACTCTTTAATATTATGGCATGAGGTAAAGCTTCAACTTAACCACTCCCCCCCTCCCCCACAGTTAGCCAATTGTCTAAGTACCATTTTCTACTCATCAGAAATATCATCTCCAAAATATACTCATTAGGAATAAGAAAGATGTTTCTGGAACTCTCATTAAGTTGTAATAATTACCTATTTTGTATTGATATGAGATTAGTATGTTTTCAATTATGACTTCATAGTGCATTTTAATATCTAAAAGCTCCTAAAAAAAATCTAATCCAGCCGAAACCGGTTTGGCTCAGTGGATAGAGCGTTGGCTTGCGGACTGAAAGGTCCCAGGTTCGATTCCGGTCAAGGGCATGTACCTGGGTTGCGGGCACATCCCCAGTAGATGTGCAGGAGGCAGCTGATCGATGTTTCTCTCTCATCGATGTTTCTGACTCTATCTCTCTCCCTTCCTCTCTGTAAAAAATCAATAAAATATGTTAAAAAAATCTAATCCTGAAAAAAAAAAAAACCCGCGAAACTGAAACCCTCTTTTATTAGTCTTCTTTCCCAAAATCCTAGAGTTTATGATTCATTTGTTTTTCCATAGATGCTTTTAAATTATTTGATCACGTTCTAACAACAAAACCCATTGGGATATTTATTTAAATTGCTTTTACTATTCTAATTAGAAAACACTAGCATCTTTTCAATACTTTGTCTTTATATTCAAGTACAAGGTTTGTGTGTCTATTCAAATCTTGTTACTTTCTTTAGTCAAGTTTCATAATATTTTTCTGTTACTTAATAAACCATTGTAAATGGAATCTTTTACATTACATTTTCTAACTTTGAGACATAGGGAAAGCTACCAATTTTACTAAACTCAATGGCAAAGAATGATCATTTTGCTCTGCCCTTGTGTACTATTTGGGCAGCACTTCCACAATGATGTTATATAGCAGTTACCAGGGGCAACTGGTACTCATCTTGTTCCTAGAGCTAATTGGCTCTAATCAGAGACTATGACAGAAAAAAAAATGAACCTCCCCATTCAGACCCATCCTTCTCGCTGTTTCTACCATCTACACTGTTGTGTATCCAATGTGCCCATTGCTCAACAATTTTTGTGTACATCCTGCTTGGCATAGGATTAGTCCTTTACTAGATCAAAGTCTGGGCACTGATTTAAGGTCTCACCTTCGACCCAGATGCCAGCCTGCCTCCCAGCTGATCATACTTCAAGGACGTGATGGCTGCTTTGTGTCCATTGAAGGTTACATTTCCTTCCCCACTCAGGAGACTGAAGATTCGAATAGACCCATCCTCATAACCAACAGCTAAGTGCAGCCCATCTGGGGAGGGGCACAAGCAAGTGACTTCTTGTTTAAGCCCCTGAAGGATAAGGATCTGAAATCATAACAGTAAAAATAAAAGTAGAGGAGTTAAGCATGTCATCAAGAGTGGGAATAATCAAGCACCATAAAATTAAGAGCACCAGAAACTCCAAATCAGTCTTACAAATAATAATGACGCTGGAATCCATCTCAACTTCTTTAATATAGGAATTATTATTAGTACTGGACAATGAAACATTCAAGAAAAGGCGAAATTATTTTTTCCAAAGCCCTACATTAGCATAACACATGCAGAAATTTCCTAGGCAATGGCATGAATTACTAAGTTCTTATCCTATGTCATGAAGCGGTTTTTCATAAAGGGTTGTGAGCACATCCTTGGCTTAACACAGCCCCATCTTATAAGAAACCAACCTATGTAGCACCAGAGTGCTATTGCGGTTTACCCCCAAGGGACCCTGGGCAGCAACAAGTATCCAAGTATTACCTCCTTGGAAGTCACACAGTGAGTGGACAAGATCAAAAGGCCTGTATTTGGTTTGGTGAAGTGGTAGGCTTATGCGTTTAGAGTTACAAAGTCTCAAAGCCTAGTTTAACAACCTGAGCACTATCTGAATAAGTAAGAAAAGGATTCAGTCAACACAGCAGAGAACTATTCCTTTTAAATGCCTCAATTTTATAACTGGCTGTGAGGGCAAGTAGAACCTGACAGATAAATAAGTGGTAGAGCAGAGAAACACACACAGTGGGAATAATGATTACAAATAATTACCTTCAATTTTATAACTGGCTGTGAGGGCAAGTAGAAGAACCTGACAGATAGCTAAGTGGTAAAGCAGAGAAATACACACGGTGGGAATAATGATTACAAATAATTACCTGTAAGTATCACTACACATAGATTCCTAAGAGGTACGCTCCTCTTTGGTGGTGGTTTGCAGAGGTTAGTATAGAACATACTAGAACCTGATACCTGGCTATCTAGAACTAAAGAAAAAAGATTTCCCTTCCAGGGGCACACACATACAAAATCTGGGCACGAGATGGGAGCTCTCGTGCTTCTGCCTCTCCATCCTCAAACACCCACATGCCAACACGGACCCAGGTGGTTTCTGGCTTACCTTCTCTCCTTTTCTTAAGTCCCAGATGAAAACATGCTCACAGGCTGGCACTGCCACGTAGCGGCCTTTTTCCCCACGAAGCGTCACAAAGACAATATTGCCCTTCTGGCTGCCAATGAGGCCAAAGACTGCACTGGCAACATAGCGAAGGTACTGCTTGGTGAGCCCCATGTTAGAAGCTCTGAAACCACGGGTGAGGCAGCTGCACAGGAAACAAAGAAAACTCAGTCCTTTGGGTGCATTGGTTCTACTAGGCTAGCAAACACCAATTGTTTATCATGTGGTTAACATACAATAATTCATGACACAAAATATCTGGACATCTTACTTTTTTACTCATCCATGATTCAACATGTCATCCCTCATTCATCAAGTTGCAAACTGCTCACATTGTCATGCCCGTCTCACAGATATCCGATGTATAGCCTCAATGTCGCTAAATTAGCTTCTGTCCATTTAATCACCCTCTTATGTTTTTACACCGAGACTGAGAGCCTGAGACTGAAAATATTTATCAACGAACATTTATTGTAAACTAACTAATTAGGCAGGTATTGCTGTAGATGCTAGATACAGGTCAACAATCTCCCTGACCTCACAGCACTCACCTTCTAGCACAGCGATTCTCAATCGCTGCAAGTACCCAGCTCACCTGGGGCTCAGGAGAACAGACTGCAGGGACCCGCGCCACCTCCCCTCCCCAAGGCCCATTTCTGACTCAGGTCTGGGGAGGGGCCCAAGACTTTCCATTTCTGACAAGTTCCCCAGTGCTGCTGCTGTGGTCCTCGGTTTGAGATCTACTGTTCTAGTAGCCAGGGTATCCCCTGCCCCTTGGCACAGAAAATGGCACAGCAACTTGGCACAGTTTTTGAAAGATGCCATAGTTCCCACACTAAGTCAAATTCACTGAAAACACTGGTTATGGATAAAAGAGACAACACGTGAAGGAAGTAACAAGCCAAGCCCACGGGCGCTTGACATGGTAAAGTGAAAAGTAAGCCCCCAAACACCCACGCAACTTAGAAAACACAGGAACCACTCACTGGCCCCATTTTTCTTAGCACAGTAACCGCCCTAAAACCAGTTAAAAATCAAGGAAAGATAACATTCACGTGGTGATAATGCCCTTCACCTACGCCATTTATCAACACTTCCCCAATTTGTCTGATTCCTTAACTGTAGTCCTTGGCCATCTCTCGATTCTTCCCACAGTCCTTTCCTTGGAGAGGTCAGGGAGACTGCCTCCGCCACGGGACTACTCATCTCTATTTCCAGTCCTGTCCACATCCCTGATAGATTAGACACCCCCATTGGAACACCTTGCAGCATCACGTTTAACACGTCGAAAAACAAACCTACTTTGCTTCCTGAACCCCTTGTTGTTGTTTTCTCACTTTAATACACACAAACCTCCTCGCCATTCAGGCTCAAAACCTTGTAGTAACCTTTGGCTCATTAATAAAAAATATTATAGCGCCCAACCCGTGCTTACGATAGCAGCTTCAGGGCTTCCGATGGGCGGGGGGCTTCCCAACAAGCCCCTTGTATTCCTGCACATCGAACCGCCTTTAATACACTCAACCCGCAGAGCAGCACAGCTCGGCCTCTAGGTGGGCACCGCCCTCTAGCATGACCACATGTGTAGAGTATCGGCTGTTCACTCTCGTGATCCCGCGGCGGCCTGGGAGCGGGGCTCACTGCCCAGCTCACGGAGAGCATCGAACCTTACGGCACAGAGCTGGTCCGGGAAAAGATCAAAATTCACAGTACAGTTTGCATGGCATGCATACCCGCTTTCCCACTACCGAGAAGTAGAAAAATCCCGAGTCGGGACTACCTGCGTGTGTTGACGAATATACGTACATAACCGAAGACACGGGGCTCACTGCCCAGCTCACGGAGAGCATCGAATCATTCCTACGGCACAGAGCTGGTCCGGGAAAAGATCAAAATTCACAGTACAGTTTGCATGGCATGCATACCCGCTTTCCCACTACCGAGAAGTAGAAAAATCCCGAGTCGGGACTACCTGCGTGTGTTGACGAATATACGTACATAACCGAAGACACGTACACAATTGTGTAGTCATGGAGTTCCGTAAGTGGGCTCATCTACATAAAGCTCTTAGAGCACCTCGCATTTTGTAAATATCGATATAAAAAAAAAATTCTTCACCATAACCTTCCACGGTAGGTCCTGCTGTTATTTCCGATTTTACAGACCAGGAAACCAGGCGGCGACGGGAAACAGCCCGAAGCCAGACCCCGGCCCAGGCTCACGCCAGCATTCCTCGCGGCCCACGCCGCTCCTCGCGGGTCGGGAACTCCCACCTGTCTCCCCGAGGAGGACCCTTTCCTCTCTCCCCACCACTTCCGCTTCCAGCTTTTTATCCGAGTTGCGGCACCAGTTTCCCATCTAGCACCGCCGCCGGCTCTTCACCTAAAAGTCGTTAACGCTACCAGCCTCATCTTTTCCCGTGCGCGGCCCTGACCCCAAAGCCCTTGTAAGGGCTAAACGGTGTGCAGTTCCCAAGGCTCCTCCTCTCGGTCCCTCCTCATGCCTCACAGAACCTCTCAGGTCGGGCGGTTCGGTTTCCCTCCGCGTTCTGCCCCCTGGCCTTCACGTCGCCCCTGTCACCGACAGCAACAAGCACGCTCCCGCTGCCTGTTTTAATCGGCGACTTCCTGTGAGGCCCGCTCCCGTCGGGGCCAGTCCACTTCTCACGGCCTTGTCCGCAGCCTCCGTGCTTTGCCGTCCTCCACACGAGGCATCATCACCGGGCTCACGGCCTCACCTGCCTCGGCGCCCCCACCGCCCCTGCGTCCTGAGCCACAGCCCCCCCGCGCCCCAAACACGTGGCTTCCACTGAAGGGCGGGGACGCCCCTACTTAAGCCGAGCCTTCAGTCTGGAGAGGGTGAGAGGAATTCGCACACCGACCACGCCAATGGAGCGTCCTCGGGCACCCGCGCGCGGCCTCCGCTACCACCGCCCAGGTGCCCCTCCACCCCAGCGACCGACCCCAACTCCCCCTCGCCTCGTCTGCTGCTGGCAACCACGAAGGCCTCAGCCAGGAAACAAAACCGAGGAGCGGAGCACCCCGACTCCTCACCTCAGCCTCCACGAGGCGCCGGGCTGCTCGGGACCCGCCCCTTCCGGTCCTCCCCCCACTCTCTTCCGTCCAGCGTTTCCTAAGCCTCGATAGGCGGAAATGACGTAAGAGCCGGGCTCTGATTGGTGAGCACCGGCCGGGAACGGAAGTCGGTGTTTCGCAGCCCAGAGCTTCTGCAGCTGGTCACTCCGGCTTCCAGGGACTTGGATCGCCTTACCCTTCCAGCTCTTGGAGGAGTGATCCGGGGTGCCGATCGGCGGCTTCCTATGAGGAG